AGGAAGCGATTTTTGTTCAAAAATTTTCACCCTCTCTGAACCGTGAAGGAGGTATCAGATTTAACCTGTCTCCTATTTACAATAACTTGTTGACCACCAAGGAACATAGACATGCTGATCAGGCTAACTGAAAGTAGCTATTCAGCCCTAGCCCAAACAATAGGCCTAATCAAGACCCAACGATAGGGAATTTAGAAATCAATGGGCCTCTTCACCATAGGGGCGTGACGAACCATCCCCACCCAGTCCTCAAATAGGCCACGCTCAGCTTTTCAGCGCAGAGCAATTTCCCGGAGTCTTCACGGAGACTTCAGCGTTGTCTACCGCTGACGAAGCTTCTGTGAGAGAAGCGAAACGTCCTTTTTTGTTTTTTGTTTTTTACCCACAGGTACAGATGACGACTGACAGAACCCTTTCTACGATAGTTCTAACGAGCTAATTAGCATGCGAAAGGATCATGAAAATGCTTTGTTTATAATTGTCACATTTAGAGCTGCATGTATGTCTGTTGTTTGGCAAGGGACAATTTGTGTTGTATTTAATTGGTAACTAGAAGCTAATGCATGTTTTAAATTTCTTTATTCTAGTGTCACTCCACATTTTCATTGAGGTGATGTCACAGTTCACTGTATGCTGTCAAGACGACGGAAATAAAGGAGTAAGACGCTCAGTTTCCTGGCTCATCAAGATTTGAGTTTGGCTTGCTGTTGACCTGCGTTAACATACCCAGTGTATGTTACATGTAGTGATAACAGTGCAAACGCGTTCGTGTTCATCATGACTTTTCTCATTATCTTTACACACCAACCGCCAATGGTCTGGGTCTTGTTTACCATGTAATTTCCATCTCTCTTCTCAACCGGCCAAAGAGCTCCCAAAGTGCTATTTAAATGAGCTTGGAGGAGCTGCAATTTCAGGCTTATTAGCCATACTAACCAAGGTTCCTTCTCTCTCCTCTCCTCCCATATATGAACAGAACGAGTGTTGGCGGAATTCACAGGTTCGCTCACTCCCATCCAGAACATGCCATCACATGACATGCAGTTGGAGAATCCTTTCTGAAGAAATTTGCCTTCAATCTAGGCTTATTTGTTGTAAATGAAGTGACTTTGTTCAATAATAAGTTTGGTCGCACTGTCAGCTCAATTGGCTGGATCTGGATTGGAGGCACAAAGTGGGAGTCATGAGTTAGGAAGCGGGTGTTGCGGTTCGAACATGTCAAAGGCAACAGTTTCATGTGTTAGCAGTGGTTCTTAACCTGGGTTCGATCGAACCCCAAGGGTTCGGTGAATCGGTCTCAGGGGTTCGACGGAGCCTCTGCCATGGAGGTTAAGACACACCCGACTCAACATGTCAATTAGTTGTGACACGCCTGCTTGGCCATCACTGGCTGCAAATGATCACATTACATTGCTTGTCCAATCAGTGCTGCGGGAAATTTAGTTCGCTCAGTGAAAAAAAAAAAAACTTAGGCCATGTAATTTTATTTACTTTTTTCTGCTTTTAATAAATGTGTTTTTTAAATTCCTTGAATTGGTAAAAAATCAAATTTTTACCTTTCACTAAAGAAGGGTTCGGTGAATGTGCATATGAACTGGTTGGGTTTGGTCCTGCTAACAAGGTTAAGAACCATTGTGTGAGAGTTTTAAGGTTTCGTTTTTGATGTGTGTTTTGGTGGAGGCAGCGTAAGTGTTATTTCCTACTGAAATGACTTCTTTCCATTTCAGAATTAAAAAGTTAATGAATGACGCCATCACAAATAATGACTTCCTGAAGAGACTGGAGCCACAGCACATGAGGGCGATGGTTGACTGTATGTATGAGAAGGTGTACACCAAAGGAGAGCTTGTCATACAGGAGGGTGAATCTGGGAACTACCTCTATGTTTTAGCAGGTCAGTTCTCGATACCACTAGACAACATTGCAACATTGATGAGAGTCATTTTGTGGGTGACGCTGTGCTTGACTGGTTAGCATGCCCGCCACATGGTGCACAGGTGAAGGGTTCCATTCCGGCTCCGGCCTTCCTGTGTGGAGTATGCATGCTCTCCCCATGCCTGCGTGGGTTTTCTCTGGGTACTCCAGTTTCCTCTCACATTCCAAAACCATGCATGGCAGGTTAATGGGACACTCTAAATTGTCCGTAGGTGTGATTGTGATCGTGAATGATTGTTCGCCTATGTGTGCCCTGTGATTGGCTGGCAACCAGTTCCTGCTGCCCGAAGACAGCTGGGATAGGCTCCAGCACGCTCGTGAGGAGAAGCGGATTCGAAAATGGATGGATGGATAGTCATTTTGTAGAAATGGTCATTATACTGTATTTTCTGCACTATAAGACACTTTGGATTATAAGGTGCACCTTAAATGAATGGCCTATTTTTAAACTGTTTTCATATATAGGGTGCACTGCATTATAAGATGCATAGAATAGAAGCTACAATAGTGGCTGCAGTTGCGCTATGCATCCATTAGATGGTGGTATGCTAAAGGAATACAATACAAAACAGCTTTATTTATATGGAGCCTTTACAACTGCTGCAGCTGTAACAATGACAACTGGTCACAAACACGGACATGAAATATATAAATACAAATGGCATTACAAAACAATAAATGAAAGACAAAAGTTATAAAGACAATCAACAAAAAGGCTCACATCCACAAGGGGTTAATGTCCTGAAAAGTCTTGCTTGTCTCCTTCTTCGTTTAGTTAGTAGTTAACTATGCTTGTGATATTATCATTGTTTCATACTGGCTGCGCAGAGCTCACAAAGTAATTATCTGAGTGTGTGTTGGCAAATGTGCATGTCAATTAGTGCCGGGCAGAATCCTTTTTGGTTACAGTTCGTTCCTTCGAATAATATAAATATACAAAGAGAGTTACAGTCTCTTTATCAGAGGGGCATTGGATTATAGGGTACACTGTCGGCTTTTGAGAAAATTTAATGCCTTAAGGTGCACCTCGTAGTGCTGAAAATATAGCAATAAGAATAATTGCAGAGATTTCTAGACAATTTATCGACCACCTTGTTCATTCATTGCTGATAATTGTGAGAAATCATGAGCATGATCAGTATTTTCACGCAGAATACCATTATCTTCAATCATTTAAATGGATTTAATGGCATCATTTAAAATATTTTGCAAATTATTGAAGAGCATAACAAAATATAAAATAAAAATATGTATGGTCTGCATTTCAGATGGCTTGCTGGAAGTCACCCAAAATGGCAAGTTGCTTAGTGAGATGCAGCCTGGAACAGCATTCGGAGAATTGGCAATACTTTACAATTGCAAAAGAACAGCCACTGTGAAAGGTGAGTATCAACGCTATCTTCACTGACCGTCAACAAACATAGTCAACTGTAACTTTCCTTTTTCTCCACCTGCTCCTCCACTGCTGCATTTTGTGATTTCTTGATTGCATCATTTCTCCACATCAGGATTATTTTGTGGCACAGTGGAATAGCCATAGAACATATTGCCCCAAAAAGGGATGTTTTCTTCCCATTTGTTGATCACTGTCGTAAAAGTGAATTAGATTTTTCTGAATCACACTATAACAGCATGTAGTATATGTACAATATTTGATCATTTTTGGACTGTTGGACAGAAGTACACCAAACAGTGAAAAATAACCCCATGAAGCTGAAATTTTGCACAGGGTGTCAAAATGGGTCAAAGTTCAAAATGTCCCCTGTTGGACATTTTTGAACATTACAGTTGGTATATCTTACATTATGACTTTTTTCGCTATGAAAGACGTAAAATGCCAAAATTTGGCAGATTAACAGCCATTATGAATGCCTATTTTCAATAAACCTGGTGTTTTATGTATGTTGCGCATACAGCACATTTGGCAATAAAGATGACGTGACTTGACTTATCATGCATTTTTTCGTAATTTCCGCAAAATTCACTTCACTGGCGTGTCACTTCAGTGTGCGTCACATGGAACAGTACTGATCAAAGACATAATAGCAGTACTTTTCCACCGTTCGTGTGTACATTTGAATGTATGGGCATGTGGGTGTTTGCGAGTCTGCACAGACTTGCAACTCGGACGGACCCAGCGCATTCGTGCATCCGCATTACAAGTCCGACCCGCATATATGGTACATAAACACGCGAATGTGGGACGTGCACGTGCGTGCGTACATGCAAACCAATGTAGAGCATAGAGCATTGCTGGCTGGGCGTTTTTTTTGAAAATAAAGTGTTATTTTTTTGAAAATGGAGTTTTAAATTAGTCGGGCGGTGATGCAATTGCTGTGCTGGCAGTGCGGTCACGTGATGCGCGTGAATGCACGTGTGCATGTACGTTCACGTTACTGCGCTGAGCACAGACAAAACAGCCACATTTTACAAGCGTTCGTACGGCTATTTGAATGTGTGGGCATGTCAGTCTTTGCGAGTCTGCACGCAAGTGCAACGTGCACATGCAATATAAATTTGTGCACGTGCATGCGCAGTGCCCTGGGCATGTGTGGCACGTGCACACGCGTGTGTAGCATGTTTCAGGTTGCAACACGTGCAAACGAATATAATGCATCTAATTACTAATTACTGTATCACCATGTTGTTTTTTTTTTTTTTTTGTCATCACTGTTTCGTACAGCTGTGACTCAGTCCAACATATGGGCTTTGGATCGCCAGACTTTCCAGGCTATCATGATGCGGACTGCACAAGCCAGGCATGAAGAGTATTTCAGCTTTTTGCGCAGGTAAGAAACCTTACAAACTGCTACAAAGGGAGTAGCACTTTACAATAAGAGTACCCATTCAAAGTGTTCCAAAACATGTTTTGTAAAGCTTATCAGTCATAGAAGTGAAAAATCTATATTTAGCAAGAGCATGCTAAATAGTGAGCTCACATTTAGTTTTGAAAAGTGTCAATTGTTTGGGGTGGGGGGAAGACAAAAACAACTGGTGGACCCAAGTGCAGGGAAGCAAGCAAAGCAGGAAGGCATGTCTCAAAGAGGGTGTTCATTTCCAAATCAGCAATAAAAAACACATGTGGTAGCACCAGAAAATAAAGTACAAAACAACCAATCTGCAAAGGAAAAACAGAGAATAGATTAACCGCCAGTGACAATAGGACACACAACAATGGCTAATGAAGTGAGAACGAACCGAAATTTCAGACCGAATGCAAACATACTGATGAAACACCTGTGCAAGATTTGTTGATTGGTTGACACGAGAGGGACAAGGCTCATGGGACCAACCAATAACCAACCAGACAGGTTAGGCACAAAGAAGAGACAGAGGAAAATCAACCAAAAGTAAATCACACGATTTGAAACAAATCGTCGTCTGGTGGGGGGGCATCCAAAGCAAAACATTTATGATCATTTATGACACACCCATCTTACACTTATTGTAAATGACACGGAAGGGTTTGAAACATGTGCTACATTGCCACTCCTGTATCAGAGCCACCAGAATCCTGTGTTGCATTGCTGCATTGTTAGTGAGTTAAAATGCTTCTCTGTCCTTCTGGTGACCGAAACCAAGTTGCCATGACAATCAAGCAATGCTTTTTCTTCCATGTCCTTGACCACATCATCTTCTTCTTCTTGTCTTTTGGCGGTTGGCAAACAACTTCTGGTGCATGACTGCCACCTTCTGATTCTGACATACACAACCCCTTGTTCAACCCTGCTCCACCTCTGCCACGCCCCAAAAATAGATACAGTAAATATTCCCACCTACAGACTTCTGTCAAACGGAAATTCCCTCATCCAGAATAAAAACCTATGCATTAAAATTGCGACTACGATATTACATTAACGATCGATTCACAACAACAAAGGTTCCGGTACCCGGAACCCGAAGCCATATGGAAGCCTGCAGTGGCGCAAACTCAACCAAGTCCCACTCAATACTAGGGAATAACTGTGTCCGCGCCGCTATTTACTCTCATTGGATCCAAAACAGTAAATGTAAGTGACTCTATTAGCATGAGTTTTACTGGAATCGCGAACGAAGTTTTCGTTCATTCATTTACATTTACGTCTTCTAGATCGTGACATTCAAACGAAGAGGAACGGTAATGACCGTGGAAGACAGAGTGGAATGCAACCGATTAGCTGCTCAGAGTAAATTACTTGTAGCTCGACGGACAATCGAGTAAACGGACGTTTCCTGGAATGCTTTACCAGTTATCATGCTTAAAAACCTTCTGCTAACTGGACCGCTAATTAGAGAGAAGGCGAGTTCCATAGCGCTATTGTTGTGGGAAGAGCGGCCTCCTCTTCCTCGCGTGTTCGTTGAATTTCGGATGATGAGGATGTTGGTTAACCAAATAAAGGCTGGAGGCGATGAACAGTTCCTTCGAAGGGTTTTAATTCATTTTCTGCAGTTTACGAATCGATTCGGGCTCCTGAGGGGTCCAGATTTGAATCAGGAAGCGTCGAAGAAACACATTCATGAGATTATATAGAGACAATATGATAATGAGAGGCGGTTAGGTACGCCTCTCATGCAAATCCCGGAAACAAAGAAAGTAACATGACATCTGACCCGGTGTGGCTGGAAGAAGGTGGGAGTGGTGAGGTGAGACCAAACGACCACTACCCACCATTTGGTGTGATGGCAAGTTCCAGAACCCCCGCTGTGCATACATCCTGAGATAAGAAGTCTTCCCAGGGGGGCTTAACAGCGATCAGGGACCGACCCAAGGTGCGGGGGAACAACAGAAGAGACACTTGGGGGGCCGTTAATCAACCAAGGAGGAAGAAGATAAACTTTAACACCACATACGTTGTTTTAAGTGTGCAAACAAATGTTCAGGAAAGAGACTGACATCAATAGTACTCATAGCAAAGCGCAGTCCCTCAATAGCTGCAACACAGATACTTGACATAACAGTTCCTCTTTTGATGTTGACATGTCCTCTGGAGGGGTCATAAAAGTAGTGGGGGTGAGGGGTTACCAAAGGTGATTGTAATCACAGTAAGCAGGAAATACCTTCAACAGCATTCTACATTGTTTCATTCAAATCCAGCTAACAGAGAGGAATCATATCTTAACAACTGCAATGTGACCTAGTTCGTGTTTTTGTGCATGGGTGTGCAATGGGAGCAAGTAAAATACTTCTACTTAATTGGTATGTACTGTAACTAAATCTTGAAAAAAAATTGCAACCAATAATTCCCAATTCGTTGAGTAACACAAAAATTTAGTTTAAAAGGACTGAGGGATCCAAAGTAACGTTTACTCTATTTTTAAGTGTCAGTATGGAAGATGATGTTCAACCGTGTTACAAAAAGAAAAATTCATCAAACAAAATACATTAGTGCCTCAAGATACGTGCAGTCGATCGGACAATATTTCACTCTAAGTTGGGACTGCAAAATTTTAGATATGAACGCTGTGTGGTTGAAGGTGAATCAACGCACTTCACAATAAACAGAAGCTGAAATAATAAGAAAATAGTCTTTAAAAAAGAGGCTTTAATTTGTTTACTGCCAGTCTCAGATGAAGGGTACCGTCAAAGTAAACATAAAACAAAGAGAATTATAAACCACATCGTTTCTGCAACCGGAATGCAAATATCCATCCATCCATTTTCAACACCACTTATCCTGAAGAGGGTTGCGGGCAGTTGCTGGAGCCTATCCTGCTGCAGACTTTGAGGGGAAGGCAGACTACAAACACATAAAGAGATGAACAACCATTCACCCCTACATCCACGCCGTCACTG